TCTTCATGATTATTCTCGCTAATCTTCAGGGATCTTGATTCAAATTGAAAAATGATCTAGCCCATGAATCGTGAGTGAAAATTGCAACTCAAATGTGGAATGGAGAATAGTAACAGAAAAAAATTCATAGCTCAATCTTAGGGATGAAATTAAGACATGAAATATTTGCTTGATATGTAGAAATGTGACATAATTATGGAATTAAATTTATTTATATTTATTAACGATGTTAAATTGAAAATAAAGAAATACTGTTATTTTTCAATAATGTCAAAAAGAGTATATTTGATCTGTAAACACAGTGGCGGATCCAAGTAGTGGCAAGCTTGGACAGCCGCCCTAACTGGATCCGCCGGGTGGAAGATTGGAAGTTGCAGAGCCGCGTCTAAACTGAAGAAGGGAAGACCGGAGGAGGAAGATGAAATTTTGAATTTGGGTCCCTTTTTTTTTTTTTAGGCCTTTTTCTTTGGGTTGATGAGTTGGGCCTCTCTGTTTTAAAAAAAAAAAAAATTTAGACCCAGTCCATGGATGATGATTGATAGATATATACACATAACAACCACACCTCCAAATCAGAGGCAATAATCGTAGCAAACCCTTCTGTAACTGCTTTCCTTCTCCCTACTGTTGGCCGCAGATGTTATTACTTATTTCGGTGGTCAAAATCTCAATTGGTGGCATTAGAAATAGGATGCCTATGTGCTGGTGAGAAACTTCTAAGTTCTAATGGCTCATTTTTTTTCGATTTCCATGTGTCTACCTTGGATTAATGCAAATTATGCACACCCGTAAACTTACTTTTTTGCTTAATAATATCTTTTTCAGGAAATAAGAATGGGCTACTCTTGCCTCACACAGAGTTCACCTGAGTGCCGCTCACGCATGTGACCTATGAGCCCTCTCTTCTCTTTCATTTAGTTTGTTTGTTTGTTTTGTTTTTGTTTTTTGTCCTTTTAATTCATTTTTTGATTTATCTTTTATCTTTGAGCTATGATTCTATGACTTGTGTTTTACTAGTTATGATTTATGTTTTATGTTTAATGAGTTATGACTGTGATTTGTGATAAATAATTCAAGATGAAATCCCTACCTCCTAGTTCTAGTTCGTGTTAGGTTGTTGCTAATTCATTAGATTTGGAAGATTATAAATAATTTGAACTTTGTTAATATAATAAATTAATAATACTTGTTAATTAACTTTAATTATAAACTGAATATTGACATTTTGTTTATATATTGCATGTTTAATTGAAAAATAAATTAAGGCAATTTTGCAGATTATAGAACTATTTTTTCATTTGAAATGAAAGTTTGTACATAGTTCCAATTCTAATGGTGCATCTAGTTCTAGTCCGTACGATTTTTTGAATACTATTTAATTAAATATTAATAAACGATAAGCCTATCACGGATGCTGACTGTTGACGGTTAACGTTCAATGTTTGCGGTCCACCCTAGCTGAACTAAGACCCTGGATTCGCCCGTGTAAACATAGAAAATTCCCCCATGAGTCCCCCAATTGAACGTAAATTGCATTTTAGTCCCTCTTTTCCTCCTTGTCCTCATGCTAAATTTCCTGTTTTCATATTGATACACATCTTTGACATTCGGGGGTGCGAAGACCAACCTTCAATACTTCATTCGTACTTCGAATTTCGAAATACATATTTTGCAAATTAAAAATCACTTAGTCTTTAGCTAATTAACCACGATGAGGACTTCAAATACCTAATTTTTTTGCTAATTAATCATGACAATGACACAGATTTTAGCAAGAATATATCTACCTGAAAAAGAAATCTGGCCTATTATCCATTTCGTTCTTAGGAGGTCACCTCTTTGTCACATTTTAAGTTAATGAAACAACTTTTATCGAAATTAACCTGAATTTGGATTTTTTGGAAAATAAAAGTTACTTTTACTATTTTGTTAAAGTCAAATTTTAATTTTTACTATACATTTAAAACTGTTATTCATTATTACTCACATATTTCATTGTCAGCACTACAATTTATCGAATAGATACTTAGAACATTTCATTGCTAATTCTCTCCAAAATAACACACGGCCAAAAGGAGGAAATAAGGAGATAATGGAAGACCAAGCTACACATAGGCAAAATATATAAGATCAATCCTAGAGTATTAAAGCAACTGAAATAGAGTATATATAGAAAATGAAAAGTATAAAGAAAATATATTTGAGTTGTTTAGTTTGATGTAAATATATCATTGATCTTGTTTGTAGAGTATAGTTGTGTTCAATTTTTCTTTTTTCTTTTTTAACCAACATACCAACATGTTAAAAAAAGGACTAAAATATATCAATATCAATATCAATATCAATTATATGTATATTATGTTTAATCTACTGCACTAATAACAAATTAGTTCCACGAGTCAACTCGTTTTGAGACTATGAACTTTATTTTTTTAGCTTGTTTTATTAATTTCTTAAAAAACAAGTGGGCTCGTCTCAACTCGATCCGTGAATTTCACTGGCCAAAGAATCGAACAGAGCTTGAATATCTAAGGACCTCGATCTATTATCACCTCTACTCAAAATCATCATGAAATGATAGAAATGTCTTCCTTTAAATGTTCAAAACAAAAGATATCACATCAATGTAAAACAAAACATGCAAACAAATGAAGGAGAAAAAGGAAATTAAATCGAAGCAACAAATTTTCAAATAAGTGTATACTTTCCACGAAAAACAAGATAAGAAAACAGTAAAGACAAAAAGAGAGATCAAGGAGGAGGAACAAAGGGCAAATGACAGAATAAAAATTTTAAAAATACACTATCCCAGTTGGAGTTTATTGAAAGTTCTGTATAGTTTCAAGGTGAGGCTCGAGAGCATTACAATTTACAGAAAGCTGAATAAGGACAAATGGACTAGCTCTAGCCCCTGCCTTTTGGTACGTTCAAATTTCCAACAAATTAGAGACATTCTCTTCCATTCAAAACCATACTTCATTGAGCAAAATTCATTACACGAGACTTGTTAAATATCTCTATAAATTGACTCGTATTTTGATCAATAATGTACAGTATAATTGCACCTGAACCATAAAAAGAACTAAGTTGGTATCAAATTTTTTCTTTCATAATCAATCTCTCATGCCGAAAATTGTCCAAATCCCTATTAAATTATCATATAATATCAGCTTGTCTATTTTTATGAAACTAGATTTTGCTTCTTAATTTGGAAGGATACCAAAATTTTGAAGTAAGAAATTCCTACTAGGCTCACCACATAATATATGAATAATAAAAACTAATTTGTATTAGGGCAATAGATTAAGAGCAGTGGCGAAATTTTCCCTTGTTCCATGTCCTGCACAAAATTTGAGCGGTAGTATTATATGTACATAATAAGTTTACATAGACATGGGTCAGAGTTTTTTCAATCAAATAAAAAAATATAAAAAAATCACTAATTTTTTGACACATCTATTGGAGAAAAATTAATTAGTTGCAGTAGTGATCTGAACAATATAATGCGGAAATATAAAACTTATCGTCCGATCGAGTCTCGTAACAGCACGATGTCCTAAAGTGAAATTGCCCGTCAATAATTGCTGCGACCTCCGTGTTTAATCACTCCCAAGTTACAACGATCATAAACCACTTGTGCAGCAATCACAAATGATTTTCTTAGAACTCTCAATTGTACTCCAGAATAAATATAAAACCAGAATATAAGAAATTCAGAATGTGGAAAGGAGGGTTGATGCAAGATGATTTTTCTATTGTCTTTTTGTGTGTGTTTTTCCCAAAACGAGGTATGGGTTTATATAGGCAAGATGGTAGTAACAGTCTTCACCATGTTAATACAGAATTTTAATGACTGAGTAATGGGTGTTTTAATGGCTGTTAGTGAGTTGTTGCAAAAACAAACAGTCAGAAAATATTGGCTAGTTTTACCCATTAAATAATAAAGAAAAAAATATTTATTTTAGTCAAGGAAGCCCAAGAGCTCAAGGCCAAGGCCCCAATCAAGATATTTTAATATCTGCGTGGGGAGTGACTCGAACCCCTGACGTCCCACACAAATGTCACATTTCCCACCACTTTGGCACTTTATTTAATTTGATTATTTCTTTCACATTTTATATTTATACCACAAATATATAACAATTCATCTGTATGTAAATCATTACGTAACTTCTTGTATATGAGTAGCATTATTCAAATTCGAAACCCCTTATAGTTAGAAGCCATAACAGACTTGTCCTTAAATTTTCCACACCATATGCTAAAATGTGTCCCTTAAATATGGTGACCTTTTTGTAAATATAATTATTTATTTTTACTGAGATGAGAGAAAAGTCACCGTTCACTCTTGTCATTTAGCAGCTCAGAGAGAGAGAGAATGCGTGGGGAGTAACTCGATTTTTGCCACAAGGCAACCATCTGGTTGGAGTCTTAGGGTTTTGGGGTACAAGGGCATGCCATATACACAAAGTTTGCCATTAATTTCTGTTTGTTTCAGAAGTGAAATTCAAGATTATGGCAAAGAACAATCCTATTTAACCTTAGTTATATTATGCATCAGTTTTTGTGATGCTGTCACATTATCAAAATAAATAGAATAGTATTATTCATCTAAACTGCTTAAGTGGGCAACTAATTAATCCTCATAAATATAAGGATTTAGACTTGTCTTAAAAGTTTAATTGCATAATCGGCATCTAAAAGTATGCGGTTTAGATGCATCACACTACTCAACTAAATAACATTACTAGTTAAAAATTTTAGATGATATGATTCGAATTAATCGAGGAGGACAGTTTATTGAAATTTTAGAATACAGGGTTGTTAATAATGGAATCAAAGTGGTAAAAATCCAGGATTAACAGGATTAATTTGCATTGTTTTGGGTTATAATCAAATTTTTTGTTAGCAAAACGAAAAGTTGTTGTAGTAGTACAGATTTCAATACTACAACACAAGGCAGGCACCATCCATTATGTATACAGATGGCATGATCTGGTAGTAGCAGCCATGAGGCCACTCCCTCGTCCTTCCTTCTCCACCACTCTCCTCCCCTCCTTGGTAATAGCATAAATTTTACAGGCGCCGCTCTCTCTCTCTGTTCCTCATATCCTGCTGTAGACTTTTCTACACTATTGTCTCTACAAATATATTTAGATCCTACCAGAATTCAAATCAACAAAATATAAATATGGTGGGGTCTCCATCTATTTCTCTGTGTAAAGCCTAGTCTTTAAATTTTCTGCCCTAAATTGATGAGTTTTGGTTTGATGAAATTTGTTGCAGTTGGAGAATTCATCACAGTTTCCCCATTGGCTTTTCGCCCTCTTGACAGACAAGTTCTTCAACGCCTGCTTAATTCATGAGGATGTTAAGAAGAATGAAAAGAATGTCTTTTGCTTGGACTGTTGTGAAGGCCTTTGCCCTCACTGCCTCTCGCTTCATCGCTCCCACCGCCTCTTACAGGTTCACTTTTCATAATTCTCGTGTAAATAATTAATCCCACCACATATTTTTTTTCCCTATTCCATCTTTGCTTTTGTTAAAATTCAACCACGTTCTGGAGATCAGTTTACAACTTGCAGGTACGAATTTATGTTTTCTTGAAATTGCTCTTCAATACTGCAATCTTATAAATTGTGGGTTGATTTGCAGATAAGAAGATACGTTTATCATGATGTAATAAGGCTAGGGGATGCTGAGCAATTGATGGATTGTGGTCGTGTTCAAGTAAGTAGTGATTAATTTTATAATGAAATGGAAAGAACTGAAGCAATATTATTCTTGTAATGCATTTCTTCAACTTTTTCTGCAGTCTTACACTACTAACAGCGCAAAAGTCGTATTTTTAAATCAAAGGCCCCAGACAAGGCCATCCAGAGTCTCTGGCAATCTCTGCATCACCTGTGACAGAGCCCTGCAAGACTCATACCTCTTCTGTTCTCTGTGTTGCAAGGTCCATACATTTCTGTCTCTTTCACACACACACTAGAAAATTTCTTGAATTTTCATAGCCCAGTAAATTTTGGTGGTGACCCATTTCATGTTTTTAGTTGTTTTTATGATCTTTTGTGTTTTTGTCATTCCGCAGCTTCAACATGTACTGAGAACTGGGGCTGAGCTCTCAAAGTCTATTCGCAAGTATGAGCTAATTGCGTGGCCAGAACCGGGATTGGACGATGGCCATATGACTCCTGACTCGGTGCTTGAAACGGACGGTTCAGAGAGAACCGAATCCGGTTCTAGCAGCGGCGGTGGTGCTGCCGCCTTAGCGGACTGTTTGAATCTTTCATGTACAGCCACGACGGAGGTTGTGAGGAAGAAGAGAAGCAATGTGTCGGGGTTCCGATCTGCATTTCGACCAGTTTCGGAAATCTCAGAGGCTACGATGAACCGGAGGAAGGGTACTCCACACCGGTCTCCACTTTATTGATTTGCGTACGGACTAGTGATGAAAGGGTATGGAAGAGGGAGTGGGGGATTGACGCGTGACAGAATTTGTATTTTATTTTTTGTTTTTAAGGACATTTTAGGATCAAAATTTGAACCCCCCCCGCCCCCCCCCGCCCAACAATTTTGTAAAGCACTCTCTCCCTTCCATAAAATTGGCATATTTTCAGTTTATATAGTAGTAATTCGAGTTTTTTCTTGCAAAAGTGTCATTTGTCCATTATGTGTTAGTTTGGGATAATTGATTCTTTTCATAATTTCAAATATGAAATATCAAATTTGCAGTCATTGCACGACAACAAATGAAGCAAAACTACGTACAGAAGTATGGACAAACATGACTTACATATATACCCACAAAATATGTGAAACTGAGCATCCATTGATGATCGTTCATTCATTATGATCTTCGGCTTTATCTTTTGTTGACCCCAAAAAATGTTGCCATCAAATGTCAAACCAACCCGCACACACATGAGCGAAAGTCTAATACGCTAAAACAAGTGGACGGTCTAAAACGGACAGATCAATGGCGTGGGCGTAGCTCAACGCGCGGGACGAGAACGTTCGAAATTCGACGGGATGTTCGTATACCGATTGTACAATAATTATCAATCGATATTTATAAATGTGTATCTAAATATGTACGTGTTGCAAGATAATAAGAAAGAAAGAGTTGAGTAAAGTATAGTTTCTTGTATTGATTCTTGCATTAGCCTTTGTATGGGGTACATGAGAGATATTTATAGTGTCACAAGTTAGATCGTAACCTTTGGGTCGGGGTACACGTGACCTCATCCGGTTAATTTACATGTCAAATTGTAGGCATCAGCTGCACCTAGCCTGCTATACATTTATTGATTGGTAGAGCCGCCTCTACAAGTGACAAGACTTAACATTTACACTCATGACAAACGTCCTATCAATCATTCAAGTAAGATCTTTGTGCAGAGGATCTCTTGAGAGAAGTGTCTATCGAAGATGCTACTTTGTGATTCAGAGGCTGCTACCTCGGCTATAGAGCTTTGGCCAATAGGGTCTTGTCCACCTTCAAAGGGCCTCGGCATATGGGTTTCGGAAGCTACTCAAGAGCAATGATAGATGGGCCTCTGTATATATAGGCCTAGGCTTCTGTGGACCTCGATTTGTGGGCCTCGACTATGCAAATCACCTCGGCTTGATTCCCACGTGGTTCGGCATGAGTTGGCTGTGGGCCCCCCAAGAGTGCAAACACATAACAATAGTCCCCCAAATTCAAATATAGTCATTTATGCAACGCGAGGACTTTGATGAAGTAAAGCCAGCCAGTTAAGTTGAAAGAAATTTTTGAAATTTTTGTACCCCAAATAATAGTTCCCCAAATCCAAGTATAGATATTTATATCATGGTTGGAGTTAGAAATGTGTTGTTGTGGAAGAATGATAAAGCCGAGGTGGTTTTGAGAACCGAACCTACGAGGCTTGTGGAGGCTGAATTCTGATGAGGTAGTCGAGATGGTTGAGAAACCAAACCTGCGAGCCTTGTGAAGGCTGATTTCTGATGAGGAAGTCGAGGTGGTTGAAAAATCGAAATTCTGATGAGGAAGCCAAGGTGGTTGAAAAACCGAACCTGCGATGCTTGATGGCTGAATTGTGATGAGGAAGCCGAGGTGGCTGGGAATTCTGTGGCTCATTGGTAATGATTGTTCCTCGAAAATTGTGCCAATGATTTGATGTTTTATGCATATTTTCCAGGAAAGGTGGCTGAACCGTTCAACTTCCAAGGTGTCTACTGCCGTCAAATTAAAGTCGTAATTATGGGTACAGCTGGAGCTTCTAGAAGCAAAAACGTTTGGGGAAGTGTGTGGAGGACACACTTGAATCTGAAGCATAAGTTTGAAAAATAGTTTGAATTTTACGCCTCAGATTTGATTTAGAATGAAAAGTCCAGATTCAATAGGCTTTGATCAGACGGTTGGGGTTCGTCCTGGCCCTTTATAAAAGGCGAGAGACCCCCATTTTCCTGGATTTTCAACCTTTGCAATCTGATTTCTTCTTCAAAAGCTTAAGTTTTTCGGCGTCCAAACAGTCAATCTTCTCATTTTCCAGTGTTACTCCGTTTGCATAGTCATTTCCTGTAGGTATTTTCACAGAAAATTTCTTTGTATTGAATTCATCCTTTTCTGATATGGAGTCCACCTCGGGTAGGGAATTATTAACTATTGCGTCATTCGATGAGGGGACGAGTCACGGAGAGGACCTTGAGGTCGAGCAATATGCTATAACCGAGGAGCCAGTAGATTACAGTGAAGAGTGGGGAGCATCCAGAGTGCCTTCAAATATGACCTTGAAGAGGCTGGGGGAGATCAGGGAGAGGTACTGTGTACTTCATTATGTTGAAATGTTGGTGCTTGAGTCTCATGAGCGCACCTACTATTCGAGGCCCGGATGCGTGGCTGTGAGTGAATACCTGTTTAAGGTAAGCATGCATCTTCCTTTGCACCCCTTCTTTAGGGCGGTGCTGCGAAACTTTATGTTGTCGCCGACCCAGGTTCTGCCAAATGGGTGGAGCCAATTGGTTGGCTCGTACTTCCTATGGAAAGAAGTGTCACTTGGGGAGAACATGCCTCTCCACGTCTTCATGACCTTGTTCCAGCCTAGGGTGATAGGTAAAGAGTCAAGTGGGGTGGTATTACTTAACTCCTTGGGGGGCTCACGCACCATTTGTGGTGGGGCTACCTTCTTCCATCAAGGAGTGGAAGGAATCGTGGTTCTGGGTGAGGGGCAGGTTGCAGGCAGTGGAGGGGGACACAGCCTTGGCTTGCATAGTACCGACCTAGTATTATGAAGCTCGTGAGTCTCCCAGCCTAAGTAGTTTACATTATGAGTTCAAAATTTTATTTTTCTAACTGTTGAGCCTTGCTGTGCAGATAGTAGTGCGAGGTTCAAGTTGAGCAATGAGGAGTTTGAAGTGAGAGAGGACATTTACAAGAGACCTCTGAAACTTCGGCGTTTCGACCACCTCATCGATCGAAGCCGCTACTTCATTGACTTTGAATTGATGGCCTCCAAAGGTAAGAAGCTTGTATACTTGTGTATTTATTGCTTTTTGTTTCGTTGCTGACGTACTGACATGCTTTGCAGACAAGTTCAAGAGAAGGGACTACACAAGCCCAGACATGGCCTCTATCCTTAAGGCCACATCCAATGTGACGGTGAGGCCCCTGAAGCCGAGGTCGAGTGGTGCAAAGGAGGTCCGGGGAGGGTGGAGTGCCTCTCCAAAGAGCCTCGGGGAAAGGAGAAAGTCCCCGAGGAGCAGAAGAAGAGGAAGCTGGAGCATGTCACCAGCTCATCTGGGAAGTTCGGGACCTCTGTGTCCCACAAAAGAAAAGAAGCCCCTCAACCAAAGCTCCTGGAGGCCGCCTAAAAAACGATGAAGATTGAAATGGTGCGGCGCGTCGAGGCTAAGGAGGGTACTGCGAGGAGGGCGGCTGAGAAGGCAAAGGATGAAGCTGCCAAGCAAAGGCTCGCAAGAGTGCAAGGGAAATCTCTAAACTTCCTTGTCGGGAGGGAGAAGGTCCTGGCCCCGACGTTGGTTGAGGCTCTACCAGCCGAGATCCAAAGCACTATTTAGAGCTTCCACAAATTCTGGACGGACCGGTGGCAGTTGCACGCCTCTTCCTGCGATGCGGTGGACTTGACAAGGGCCCTTGTGAGCCAAAGTGTGAGGACCTTTGGCTCGCATTGGAGTGCAAGAAGGCCCTTACTGATTTTCAGACGAGGACCCAATCTTCGGAGAAGAAGGTGACCTCCCTCGTAGAGGAGTTGAAGAAGGCCAGGGTCGAGGTAGAGGAAGCGAGGGCCCAAAAAATAGAAGACATGGCCAAGTTGGAGTCTGCTTTGGCTCAGTTCGAGGCCTTGAAGAAGGAGGTCTATAAGTCCCAGTGCGAGGTGACTTCCCTTACCAAGAAAGTGGAGGTCTCCAATGACTATCAAAAGGTGACTGCTAAGGCCTTGGAGAAGACCAATCTCCAGCTGGCTGGGGCCCAAGACGCCTACAAGTTCTTGGAGAGTCAAATAAAGTGGCATGTGGATGAGGCCAATGTGGCGAGGGAGGAGGTAGTCAAAGACTACATTGCTAATTTTCACAACATTGAGGAGTACAAAGGCTTCAGCATCTACTGGAGAAATTATGCTTATATCGAAATGATGGAGAGGGCTGAGGAACTCTACCCAAAACAAGACCTATCACAGCTGAGGTCGGAGTTTGTGGATGAAGTGCCTCAGACCCCAGCTGATGAAGCGGTTGGGGATGAAGCAGCGGAGGCAGAAGAAGGGAGTTCTGATGCTCATGCTGCGGAGGCTCCTGCTGCTGAGGTACCTCCACCATCATCTGAGGCTTAGGATAGTTTACTTTTCAGTTAATTCTGATGTACTGGCCTCAAGCCCTCATTTTGTAACTGACTAAACATCAATATAATCTCTTTCATTCAATGTTGTTCTTCTTCCAAGTGCATTGACCTCATTAAGTAATTAAACTTAAGATTGATTGAAGAAGTAAATAACCTTGATTGGATATCCTAACTCCAATCACTTAAGCAAGTAAATTGTAATTTAAGCCACACGAACCATGATTGATATTGGACTTAAGCAAGTAAATTGTACTTAAGCTTAATAACTATAACTAAATAGATCCTGACTGGACCGTCTTTCAGCTAAACTGAGAATATTGCTAGGTCTGATTGAAAAGGTAGTTGCGTAAAGCTCGTAGTGGTTGAGCCTTGTGAATCGATGGGTAAAAAAGTTCGATCCTCATTGAGGCTTCTCTCCTTGGCTTTTAGCCTTACCAAAGGGAGACAAGTTGCATAAGCCTCGAAGTTCAAGTGAGGTGGCCCAGAAATGGGACGCTGGCCTCTATTCCGAGGTGACGACGCTTCCCAATATGGTGGATGATTCATCCATATTGAGGCTTCTCCCTATGGCGTTCAGCCTCGCCAAAAGGAGGCAAGTGGCGTGAGTTTCGTAGTTTCAAGCGAGGTGGCCCAGTGATCGAACGCTGGCCTCTCCTTCGAGGTGACGACGCTTCCCAATGTGGTGGATGGTCCATCCATGTTGAGGC